TGCGCAAGTTCGCCATCTGTGCATTTCTCATAAGTTACGAATAAGTACAATGCGCTCCCCGCTCGCAAGACGAGCGGTACTAATTCGTGCAATACGTCGCTATGTATACGTCCAATATAGGAGGTCAGTTCATAAAAACGAACTTGGCGAAATATATAACTCATAAAAACGAACTTGGCAAAATATATAACTCATAAAAACGAACTTGGCGAAATATATAACTCATAAAAACGAACCTGGCGAAATATATAACTCATAAAAACGAACTTGGCGAAATATATAACTCATAAAAACGAACTTGGACAAAATATATACTTGATGGCACTACAGGGCTTTCGTACTTTTCCGTGTGGACATCGGTATTATTCTTCTTCGTGCTTCGTCTCTTCTTATCTTCTTCCTCAGGCTACTTCTTCAATTCCTCTTGTTTCTTCATCTTCTTGCTTGTTCCCTCTTGCTTGTTCCTTCTTCTTATTCCTCTTCTTCTTCCGTATCCTTACATCCGCTTGGTTCTTCCCACAGGGATTGTTCTGGAGCGAACAGAGCTAGCGCCCTATTGCTGTTATGTTCCAGCTCGCCTTTTATGCACTTTTGGCAGGGCTGAATCTGGGTCGCAGTGAGCGCGCGCGTTCCAATTATAGGCTAAAAGTGCGCGTAGCGCGTATGCAAAACGAGTCACCAACCCTGATGATGAAATCTCTGCGTACAAAAGTCAATAACACACAAACAATGGGTGCATTCAATAACACTGTGCACATACAATGTACATGTACGTCAAATGCCTTGAACGTTATAAAACTTGCATAAGTACCTGGAAGAAACAACAGTGTAACGCAAAGTTAATGGCTTCTTCACATCATTGTTGAATTATTCTATAAATACTACGAATATTTGGTAAGTCTCGTAGGTGAATAAAGTTGGATTTGAGGGCTGAAAATGGCCTAAAATCAACAAGTTTCATCTCCATTCTGTAGTACGAGATTCATGTTACGGATCGGAAAGATTATTTAAAGGAAAAGCTGATTTTTGTCACAATATGATTATGTACTTCTCTGCTATACAGAAATCCAGAATTCAAAGATACGTATTCCTCGATACCGCGTTACCGTGATAATTTATCACAGAAATCCGGAATTCAAAGATAATTCCTTCAGTCGTTACCGATTTGTCTTTGAATTCCGGATTTCTGTGATAATTATTGCGGTAACGCGGTATCAAGGAAGGAATTATCTTTGAATTCCGGATTTCTGTGATAACTTATCGCAGTGACGCGGTATCGCGGAAGGAATTATCTCTGAATTTGGGATTTCTGTGATAAATTATCGCAGTAACGCGGTATCGCGGAAGGAATTATCTTTGATTTCCGGATTTCTGCGATAAATTATCGCGGTAACGCGGTATCTCGGAAGGCAATTCAAGCTTCCGTAGTATTCACATTGGAAACAGGACAACTCGTACGCGGACCAAATCGTACGCGAGACAACTCGTACGCCAGCCAACTCGTACGCAGGACAACTCGTACGCGGTCCAACTCGTACGCGAACCAACTCGTACGCCAACCAACGCGTACGCAGACCGAAATTAGCAAATGTAAAGAAATAGAACGATGTTTACGATCGCCAAAAGTTTACCCCAAAACAGACGCCAAAGTTAACGATTTATCACTGTCCGATTGTATGACTGAATGACTGTGATTGTAGCCATGTATTTTCAACAATTTAAATTCCATAACAACGATGTACAAGTTTAAAAGTTTCAAAGATAAATTTAAAAAAAAAACATGATCCATTTTGCGACCGATGTGTAGTGCAATGCTGCGGCATGCGCTTCCAACCACGCAGCCAGTGTGGAGAATTTGTCAAGACATACAACGATTTTATTTACACATAGCGCTGGGCCACTATATCAGTGTATTGTGGGAAGTCTACAAATGCAGCGGACATTGTACGATTTAAATTCTCATGGCATCATGGAGTATAGCGTACGGCGTGAGCATGGAGGTGGAATTCTACCTCCATGGTGCATGTGAGCATGGTGTGAGCAAGGATCGGACAGCGTGCGAGTGGTACGGGAAAACAAATCGTAACTTTACGGTTATGAGCAAAACAAGCTGATTTAAAAATGAACTAATTGGGACGCCCCTAAAATCTCTGGCGGTTGGAATCACTGGAAAAGAAACAATTCAAGTCCATGCCAGCTACGCGGATACTGAGTGGGGGTCCATTATTTGAGAACGAATCAGCACAAAAGGAATGGGAGTTGCTGAAAAAAAATTCAAAGTCCAAACCTTATATCCTTACGCTAGTCTATACTCACGCGTACGAGTTGGCCCGCGTACGAGTTGGCCCGCGTACGAGTTGGCCCGCGTACGAGTTATCCCGCGTACGAGTTGCCTCGCGTACGAGTTGGTCCGCGTACGAGTTGATCTCCATATACACCTAGGTCTTCGCTCCATTAGAAATACGCGGAGGCGCGCTGACAATAGACGTAGCTGTAGCTCTGGAACTATGGGCGGCCATTAGGGCAAAAAAAACAATCACAAAATTAAAGTTTAGCAAAAATAAATGCAAAAAAGCAAAAACAATAACGTACAATTAACCATGAACATGTAGGACAACAAAACAAAATTGAAACGTAAAAAAATTAAACAAATAAACATAAAAAATAAAACATTCGTGTTAAAATAATGTACAATAAAACACAAATTAAACTAAACCCAACATTACTGTAAGCCCTGCGAAGAATGTAAACCCCAAAATTACTGTACGTATCACCACGAATGTAAACCCCAAAATTACTGTAAGCCCCGCGACGAATGTATACCCTAAAATTACTGTAAGTCCCGCGTCGAATGTATGCCCCAAAATTACAGTAAGTCCCGGCCGCAACGAATGTATCCCCCCAAATTACTGTAAGCCCCGCGACGAATGGATATATCCCAAAATTACTGTAAGTCCCGCGTCGAATGTATACCCATTACTGTAAGTCCCGGCCGCGACGAATGTCTACCCCAAAATTACTGTATTAGTCCCGCGACGAATGTAAACCCCCAAATTACTGTAAGTCCCGCGACAAATTTGTAAACCCCAAAATTACTTAAAGCGGGGTACCAGTCTACATGGACTGGTGTACAACAACCCATCACTGCAGCGTGGCCGCGCTACATAGACTGTACACGTGCAACTTTTGCGTTTATTTGGAGGGGGCGTAATCATACACGAAGCCACTATGTTACATGTCAAGTCGGATGGAGGGGAATTTTTTTTTGGGGGGGGGGGCAGCCACCATGATCAATTAATTTTGTCAGATTGAGCATTTTTTCTTTTTTGAGAAGTGATTTATAGCAAAGAACACAGCAAGGATGGACCGATATGTGCAGGCTAAGTTCAGGGAATAATTTTTAGAGTTGGAAAATTCCAGAGAAAATTTCCCAATTTGCCGCCGTGAAGTAAAGTTGATTTAGCGGGGAATAAAATTGGGTTTTGTTATCAGCATTTTGGGGTTTACAATTTTGTCGCGGGACTTACAGTAATTTTGGGGTATACATTCGTCGCGGGACTAATACAGTAATTTTGGGGTATACATTCGTCGCAGGGCTTAAAGTAATTTTGGGGTATACATTCATCGCGGGGCTTACAGTAATTTTGGGATTTACATTCGTCGTGGGGCTTACAGTAATTTTGGGGTTTACATTCGACGCGGGACTCACAGTAATTTTGGGATTAGTTTAATTTGTGCTTTATTGTACATTTAAAGGGAAAATACAACATTTGCAAACATCAAAAAATAAAACTACCAAATCATTTTGAAATACCTTGCTGGACTGTTAGTGAATGACAGTGTAAAGCATCCTGTAAAATCATGGCACCTGGTATACTGTCATTTTCAAGAAAAGTGGTATTTTTGTATCAATTTCCAACGCTGATCGGCCGATCAGCGTTGGAAAAAACTGGCTTTTTTTCAAATACTGGCCACAATTGACCATCGCACTTGTTTGCAATCGATTACAAACCTTTGAACGGGTACGAGACAGCTAGACTGGTTCCCTGACCTTACAATTCCCCAATGTATGTAAACTGCTCTGTTTCTTCTTATATGGAGTCAGGGAACCAGACTACAGGAAAATGATTGTTTTTCTTGGTTTTTATAGCGTTTTCGAACCCAAAACCTCAAAAAGGTCATTGAACTATATTTGCTATATATTTCCAACCCCCCAATTCCATCCATTTCTGAAAATTACAGCAAAAGCAAATGATGTATATTCCCTTTAACACGAATGTTTATTTGTTATGTTTAATTTGTGTTTTTATTTTTTTTACGATTCAGTTTTGTTTTGGGTGTCTTTATTTTGTTGTCCTACATTTTCATTGTTAATTGTACGTTATTGTTTATTTTGTACATTTGATTTTATTGTATTGTATTTCTGTTTAACTTTAATTTTGTGATTGTCTTTTTTGCCCTAATGGCCGCCCATATAAATTGGAATAGTCGGAATCTTTTGGTCTGGGAACCAGACTAACACAACTAACTGGGGTACGTTTGGCGCTTTTTTTTATTATAAACAGGCTGGAGTGGAGGCTACTATTTTTCAACTCCCGCCCTGCATGCATGATTCATCCACCGGAAGTTTAGCCTTGACCAAGGCTATCAGCTTGTTCCCATATGAGCTTGTTCCCGCTACCGCACACGGCGCGCGCAGCAACACAATGTTGTACTATACCGTTGGCCCCAACGACCCTTGCGTGTGCTTTGTGTGCATGTACGTACGCCCCACACTCACTTCCGCAAACAGCCGTACAGTAAGTCGAGGCAGAAGATATCCTCGACTTGCTGTACGTACGGCTGTTTGCGGAAGTGTGTGTGGGGCGTACGTACATGCACACAAAGCACACGCAAGGGTCGTTGAGGCTAACGGTATAGTACAACTAGTGATTGTGTCGCGGCGCGCGCGGTGTGCGGTAGCGGGAACAAGTTCGTATGGGAACAACTGATAGCCTTGGTCAAGGCTACCGGAAGTTAGGCGTTTGACGCGTGATTGGAAAATCTCTGGTTTTTACTTGCAGACGCACGTGACGACGGTGGACTGCAGTGCAAACTTGTCTTAAATTGACTCTTTAGCATTTGTTTAGTCTTAGCTAATTGTAATTTGTAGAAAGCCAACTCAGCACTGACAGCAGTCATTGTGTTTATAGCTCCATGATGCTCAACATGCATTATCAGTATCTTCGGTATCTGCCAGTGCCAATTTACTTAAGTCATGTAAGTATCCCTATGTTCTTTTTGTGAAAAGTGCGCATGGTAAATTAGAGGGGGAAAAACGGAGGGAAAACGGAGGGGAAACAAACGTCAACAAGCCTCGACGGTCGTCAATGAGCGTCAACAAATTTTGGGAGTAATTGCAGAATACCCCGCAACTCGGAAATACACCCCTAAAATCACTGGCTACGAGGTTGGAATCACTGCAAAAAAAATAATTCAAGTCCATTGCCAGCAACGCTGATACTGAGTGGGGGTCCATTATTTGAGAACGAAGCAACACAAAATGAATGGGAGTTGCTGAAAAAAATTCGAAGTCCAAACTAGCCCCATAAATGTGGCCTATTTACTGGACTGCCTCCGTAAACATAGGCCACACATCCACATGTACAAAAATCATGTCGACTTTGCCAAATTTTGATTTTCACATTAAGGCTTAGTTTGTATGGTTTTTTTGCTTTAGAAGCATACTCACCCTCTTTATAGGCTAATCAGAAAGTGCTGCCTTTTTCAGATATATATATTTTTCGTGAAATTTCCAGATTCATTTTTACACGTTTGCGTATCAAAATTTCAACATGAAATTTCACAAAAATTAGACATCTGAAAAAGGCAGCACTTTCTGACTAGCCTATAAAGTGGGTGAGTATGCTTCTAAAGCAAAAAAATCCTACAAACTAAGCCTAAATGTGAAAATCAAAATTTGGCAAAGTCGACACGATTTTTGTACATGTGGACGTGTGGCCTATGTTTATACGGAGGCAGTCCAGTAAATAGGCCACATTTATGGGGCTAAGTCCAAACCAACCACCCTCATGACCCTGTTCGCGGCTACAAGGCTACAGAGTGGGAGTCCCCTTGAATATGCTTGAGAACGAAGCAACACAAAAGGAATGGGAGTTGCTGAAAAAGTTCTAAGTCCAAACCAACTACCCTGTTGGCGGCTACGCGGTCACGAAGTGGGAGTGCAATGGAGCATGACGCATAGTACATACAAGTAGCGCTGAGAATGTTTATTGAGGTCAATCAGCTGTGACCTCGTAGCCGGCTACGAGGTGGATAGATCGAGTGGCAGGGTATTACTTAAAAGTGGTTTTCCAGTGCGAAATCTACGACGGGTTTTTCGGTTTAGTATTGGCCGCCATCTTGTTTGAGATCTACATACTACATGTACTACCTGACTACGCATGCGTGGAGTGTACCATTCACGCATAGGGGTTTCTTTATACGATACTCTTTGCGATACCTCGTTTGGTTTTTGCATTGGGATTTTTGGCAGACATTGTAAAATTGAATGAACAAACCGATCTAAGAAAAAGTACATAGGGCCCATCAGGTTGGCCGGTAAAAAGCGTCAACACAGCGTCAACACACCTCAAAGCGTCAACACATCCAAAATGCATTAAAAGTGACAAAAACAGTATGTAACCCATACAGCATGGACAGAAACAAGATTTTGGCTTAAAATCAATAGGTTAAACGTCTGAAAATTGCGATTTTCAGTTCAAGAAAATTGGCTCTCCGTGCTGCTCTGAAATCGGCTGCCAGGGCCAAGTTCGGGCAAGGACCATTAGTCGACGAGTGGTTGATTTGTGACGTACCTTACGCCTGCGCACTAATAGCAAAGTGCGAACGTCTCTAGTCAAACGCTGGTCAAAATGTCATTGCAAAACGTCTGGATCCTGGCTCCCTGCTGTACGTTATGAACGCGCGCGGCTATGGTTACCAGCGAAGCAACCAACCCCAGTAGGTTGGTTCCAAATAGTCGACTAGCCTAGTTAACCATCGTCGACTAGACAGAGTTCGGGCAAGCGTTAGTTGACCAATGGTTAACTATAGTCCTTGCGCGAACTTGCCCCATGTTGCCTCAGTGGCAGCGCGGACCATACCATTATGCTAAAGGGTGATACTGACAGTGATAGCGTTGTACAATAAACCAACAGAGAGGGCGCGGCCGGCCAATACCCAAAAATGTCATTTCAATAAAGATTTAAAGTAAATGAAACATAAAGACAACTCACAAAATTAATGATCCACCACTCCGATCCTCAGTCCTCACAGATCTGGTATCCCTCTGTCTGCAGCAAGGCGCCCTCTGTTGTTTAAGACAAGATAATGTCATTATTTACACACCCCTAGTATTTGAAATAGTGTAGTCCAAGCTTTGTGCGAAGTCAAGATGGCGGACAACGGCTGTGCAAGTGAAATGTCTTTTTTTTTTCGCGTGAAAATACTATATTTTTAACAACGAAATGGAAACTCAATCCAATGAAAATTCTCTTTTATTCTATGCTTTACAATTTGATACCTTCTCTGTCAATTCAGAATGTGTTTTAGATGTGTTGACGCTTCTGTCATGTGTTGACGCTGTGTTGAGCTTTTTAGTGCGACCCCGTCAGGCATCAGGTTGAAACATTTTCTTCTGCACCCAGTATGAATGCTGTTCATTTTGTTGTGGGTTTCTCTACTAAAATTGTTGATGATTTCTTCAAAAACAGATAGACTTTCTACTCAGAGTCAAAGTTTAAACTGCTAGTGCTAGCTACAACTCTTATCATGATGTATTGTAACAATCTATGGGGCCGCTGTACATTAGTCATACATCATTACACATGTTTGTTAATTAGAAGAGTTCACATGTATGTTAATTAGAAGAGTTAATATACATGTAAGTTTTAAAACAGTTCCATTCAAATTCACCAAATCCAAAATTCAATTTCGTTCGTGAAAAATTGCATATATGGTTTTAACAAATTTAGCAATTTAGTCATTCACCATTCAATTTCAAAGTTTGGTCACCCCCTTTACTCACTGGGTTGAGAATATCCTTCCTTACAGATCAAATTCGTCTAAGCTGTTGCTGAATGGCAGCATTCAGAGATCAAATTCTTCTTATATAAATCAATTAGACAAATTTGATTTCTGAATAACAAGGTTTGGCGTAGATGAGACCAAATCGAATACTCCGGGACGAAAATGTGTGCTCATAATGGTTGAATTTTCTTAAACTGAATTTGAAATTGTCCGACAAAAGATAAAATTAAACATTGGAGGTACACTAAATCGAAGTTGGTGGACAAATTTGATTAGAAACGGTGAATTTGAATAATAAACATTTTATAGCCCGAGAAAACCCAGACCGGGACCTTAACTTAAGTGCTCAAAATGATGCAAAAGAATTAGATTTTTCACATGTTGTCCGTGTATTTACTTGAAGTTGTTTGACATTTGAATAGTTTCTATTGCAATTTGTTCTAGGTCTTAACTTAAATTGATCGGACTATTAATACTGTCTTAATTGAAGGTTCTATTTGTGTGTGGGATGCTGCAGTTATGTGGTGCAGACAGGGGCTCAAAGTTTTCCCAAGGACCTGATGTAAGTATGCAATTTGATCGTTAAGAGGTCGAAAGGTAATGCGTGTATTTTTAGCAAACCAAGCTCTCGTCTTTTTTTGTCAATAGCCAATTGTTCGAATGTTAAGTTTTTTTCTTATAGTTTGGAATGCATTTCATTATTTAACTGTCTATGGGTTTGGCAAGGGCCAGCCTAGCCTTTCGCAAAGGCCACCGTGGCTTAGAGCGGCAAAGCAAAGACCAAGCCAGCGTTTGCGAGTGGCAAAGCCACAAGGCCTTTTCTAACTTGATTTAAGCGCGTGTGTACGCGCGTCATGGGTCTGGGTAGTAACCACCCGCGCATTTATAAGGCTAATGATTGGTTGGCATTTTGCTACCCATTTAGGGCAGAAAAAATTGAGAAATTATACAAGTTGGAAAAAGCCTCGTGGCTTTGCCGATCGTACGTGTGGTCTCCGCTCCAGTCACTTCGCAGCTTCGCCGCTCCGTCTAATAATGCCGGTTAAAGCCATGATGGCCTTGGTGAAAGGCTAGGGCCAGCCTTGCTTTCCCATCTAGGTTTTTGTGTCAATTCACTGGCAGGCCTGGCCTCCATAAGGGTCTCAATTCCAGTATCAACAAGAATACATGTACAAGTTTCTAAAGTGGGAGAGTATCAACTGAAAAATTAGAGTTTTCCTTTGTATGGATTCAGGTGATTGTGCATGTTCTTATTCTTCAAAATAATTTTGAAGGTCATTCATTCTCCTTGTCATCGACATGATTGGTGTTCTTCATCATGACCCCCAATCAGTAGGCCCCTACTGCCCCCTACTGCCCCCAATGTACATGTAGTTCTGCAAGGGGTGAAACTTACATTGTAATGCAGAAGATATGCAGTTTTTGCAACATTTAAAACTGACAAAATAAAGAAATCAGACTTTTAATTCTGCAGGAATGTTTTCCAGAATAGATCAGGAGTTCTTGGAAGGTACAATGTAAATCTACTTTAATAATTTCTGAACTAGCATGAGGTCGTTTTTGTTTTGTTAATTTACCGCTTGTATGAATCCCCCACCCCCCCTGTTTTTTAGTTTTCACATTGTTGATTGTGGTGGTCATCATATCACCTTTCATAACACTAACATGTAGGCATTGATGACAGCTGCTCACATCATGTTCTATGTACTAATGCAAACTTGCTAAGTAATATAGAAAACTGAAATATTCAATCATCAACCGAATGCGAATAGGTTTTTGCCGATTCGAATAAAAAACAAAACAAAACATTATGCACATTCTTGTACCATAACTGTGTGGACTATACACGATTTGTCCCATGGTATTAAGATGCTGTGGGGACAGCAGAAAGTCCCATGGCGTTGCCAGGATATTTTCTAGAGGGGCAAAGCACATTACCCACAAAAAATCCCTATATTTTCCAGCATTTTCCTGATTGATTTTTTTTTTTGAGGGTGGGCAGGGACATTTCCCTCCCCCAACCCATTAAATTAATAACAATATGATTTTGTGCCTTTTTTTTTTTTTTTTTTTTTTTTTTTTTTTTTTCCCCTTTTATTTTTAGCTGGGGGAGAGCACCCCATTGCCCCCCCACGACGACGCCCATGGAAAGTCCCCATAACTTGGTCCTAATTTGCCTAACAATAAAAAAATTCCCCGTAACTCGGTGATAACCCGCTCACAGAAACACAATTACTGTGATGTTATTTTAATCACAAGCAGACAAGGTTGCAGTACTTTATTGGCAGATGCCAGTTTTTTGTTGAGGTTAACTTTTTTTACCATGGCGGCTCATTTTTGCGCGGGAAAGAATTCCATAGGCCTATACATACGCCATTAGTTTTTCCCTGCAATGACTCATCAACCATCAGAGAGGGATAACATGTCCTAAAAAGTAAAATTTAAGGGGGAAAATACTCAAGCATTTAGTTGGAAAACATTTTCTGACTAGTCTCATAGGGTTTGTACACAGGGTGTCAAGTGGCGTACGCATCCAGTTATTGCCCTTGACAGTTATGTAGTGACATGTACATGTGTATATAATTAAGTGTTTGTTCTTTTAGCTCCAACAGGCGTTCCATACAAATAAGTATGTTAATAAGTTTTGGTTGCCATAGGCACCGGAGTTCACTCTCGCTGTGCTGCGTTTGCGCAGTGTGACATGTTGGTGACCTTTCACTTATCGTTTTCATTCTGCTTTGTGCAAGTCTTATTCCAACGTTGAAAGTTTCCTCAACCAAGTTTTACTCAGTCAATTGATGTGTGCTTAAACCTACTGACTTTCCAGAAGTTTGTTAATCATTGGATAGCAGGTGCATGACGAACTTGTGAGTTTTGAGAGCATTAAAACTTGTAAACAACCAACATTTTGTGTGCCGTTTTTCACGACTTGTAAGAACAGACACGAGGCTTGATAAACAGTAGTAGAACTCATTTCGGGAGAAAACACGAATTACTACACTGGTGACCCTGTTTTGAACAATCGTGACCTTCTGCACAAGCCATGTCTGTGGAAGTTAAACCTGATGGGACAGAGGGTACACCGCCTCCAACTCCACCTCCCTCTAACCCATTTCAACCGCCTGTCATGCCGATGCAAGCTGCAGTAAGCCTCAAACTCCCTCCATTTTGGCCTAACGACCCAACCCTGTGGTTTACCCAGGTGTAGGCTCAGTTTGTCATCCGCCATATCACTACCCAGGAGACTCGTTTTGCCTACGTTATCGGATCTTTGCAACCGGAGGTCGCACAAGAGGTGCGGGATATCCTGATTACACCCCCATCCACGGACTGCTACGATAAGCTGAAATCTGAACTCATTCGTCGCACTTCAGTTTCTGAGCAGAAACGATTACACCAGCTGCTTACTTCAGAGGAATTGGGAGATCGCAAGCCCTCGCAGTTGTTGCGGCGCATGCACCAGCTTTTGGGGGACAACAAGCTGGAGGAGAGGATTTTGAAGCAGTTGTTTGTACAGCGACTTCCCCACACGTCCAGTCCATTTTGGCCTCCACAGCGGACACTGTGGGAATTGGAGCACTGGCAGATTTGGCTGACAAAATTGTCGAGGTGTCGGCCCACTCTACGCCGGCATCGCAAATTTCCACGGTTTCTTCACCACCCCTCCACCCCCGCAACGACACGCCTCCCCTGAGGTACTCACTCTGCACGCAAAGGTTGATGACCTGACTCGGCAAGTGCAGGCCTTGACTTTTCAGCTACAGGGCATGCAGCGACAAGGCCGTCCCCGCTCTTCCTCCCGCAGTCGACCCAGACAACGTAGTCCAACCCCTTCTGCGGATAACTAGCCATCCGGTGACCGCCAATGCTGGTATCATTGGAAGTACGGAACTAATGCACGAAAATGCACCAGTCCTTGTTCGCGACGCACAGAACCACAGCGGAACCAGGAAAACGGCCAAGCCAACGACTAGCGGCGACAGGTCGGTCTGGCAGCGATACAACAAGTCGCCTCTTCCATGTAACTGACAAGGCCACAGGCACTCGTTTCCTAGTTGACACCGGCGCTGAGGTGAGTGTTTTGCCACGCAGTCACAAGTCACGAGCTCAACCTACTTCTATACAGCTACAAGCGGTCAATCACTCACCTATTGTAACTTACGGCGAGAAGTCTCTGACTTTAGATTTGGGACTTCGCCGAGTATTCCGTTGGGTTTTTATTGTTGCCGACTTGCCAACCCCTATTATTGGAGCTGATTTTCTTCGGCAGTTCAACCTACTAGTCGATGTAAAGAACCAGCGGCTTGTCGATTCCATAACTAGTCTTGCCATACAAGGAATAATGTCTGGTACCCCGTCCGCGAGCCCCATGTTTGTGAATGCAGCTTCATCACAATACGACGAGCTCCTTAGCCGGTATCCCGATGTGGTGCGTCCTGTGTATAAGCAAACGGAGGTACAGCACAACATCACGCACCACATCGAAACTCATGGCCCCCCGGTTGCGGCTAGACCCCGTCGACTTGCCCCGGACAGACTACCACTTGCCAAGGCTGAGTTTGACCATATGCTTAGCCTTGGAATTGTTCGCCCTTCCAGTAGCGAATGGTCCTCTCCGTTGCACATGGTGCCTAAGTCAACTCCCGGGGATTGGCGTCCGTGTGGTGATTACCGCGCCCTCAACAAGAACACCATTCCGGACTGCTACCCAATTCCACACCTGCAGGATTTTTCCTCCAACCTTCACGGGTGCACGTTGTTCTCCAAGATTGATTTGGTACGCGCCTACCATCAAATACCAGTGGAACCAACAGACATCCGTAAGACTGCCATCACTACACCGTTTGGATTATTCGAGTTTGTGCGCATGCCCTTTGGGCTCCGCAATGCGGCACAGACTTTCCAAAGGTTCGTCGACGAGGTAACCCGTGGTTTACCATTTGTCTTCGCCTACATTGACGATCTGCTGGTAGCGAGCTCATCAGAGGCTGAACACAAAGAACACCTTCGACTCCTGTTCGACCGCCTCTCGCAATATGGCATAGTCATAAACCCCCACAAATGCCAGTTCGGCGTGCCATCCCTCTCCTTCCTCGGTCATCTCGTCAACCAGCATGGAGTCTGTCCTTTGCCTGACAAGGTGCAAGTCATCAGAGATTTCCCGGAACCGGCATCGCTGAGTAAGTTGCGGGAATTTCTTGGCCTCATCAATTTCTACAGGCGTTTTGTTCCCCACTGTGCAGACATTCTCCAGCCCCTGACCGACCTGCTCAAGAACAGGAGGAAGAAAAACGAGCCGATTCAGTTAGGGCCGAACGAGCAGCTCGCTTTCGAGCGTGTGAAAGCTGCATTGGCCGACGCAACACTCCTAGTCCACCACAGACTGACGCACCGTTATGCCTTTTAGTCGACGCATCGGACAAGGCCGTGGGCGGTGTTCTCCAGCAACACGTCAAGGGTGTTTGGCAACCACTGTCGTTTTTCTCCAAGCGCCTCCAACCAGCGGAAACCCGCTACAGTACTTTTGGTAGAGAGCTTTTAGCTCTATACCTCGGCATCAAGTATTTCCGACACATGCTGGAGGGACGGACATTCCGCGCTTACACTGATCACAAGCCCCTTACGTACGCCCTACACTCCAAACTAGACCGCCATTCTCCTCGGGAGATTCGACAACTTGACCTCATATCCCAGTATACCTCGGACATTAGACACATCAGCGGCCATGATAATGCAGCGGCGGATGCACTCTCTCGTCTGGAGGTTAATGCCTTACCAACGAACGCGACTATCAATTTCGACGCCATCGCTCAAGCACAGATCGATGACGACGAGTTGAAACATCTCCCTGACACCTCTCTCCAGCTAACTGCCGTCCCCCTCCAGACATCGCAGGGTACCATTCTATGTGATACCTCCACAGGGACGCCTCGACCCTTCATCCCAGCCCCGTTTCGTCGAACAGTTTTTGACGCTTTGCATGGACTGTCGCACCCTAGTATCAGGACCACACAGCAGTTACTTACTGCACGGTTCGTGTGGCCTGGTATTAACAAAGACGTTCGCGCTTGGGCTAAGACTTGTCGCAAGTGCCAACAATGCAAAATTCATCGCCACATCAAGTCGCCACTTGGTACGTTCTCCACACCCGACGCACGATTCTCACACGTACACATCGATTTAGTCGGTCCCCTTCCACCGTCAGCCGGACAGTCCTACCTGCTTACGTGTGTGGATAGATTTACACGTTGGCCGGAGGCGATCCCCATTCCTGACATGACTGCTGAGACTGTGGCCCATGCATTCGTTACCCACTGGGTTTCTCGGTTCGGTGCACCAGCTACCATCACCACCGACAGAGGACGCCAGTTCGAGTCACGACTTTTTCGAATGCTCACTGACATGCTCGGTTGTCAACGAATTCACACTACATCATATCATCCTGCTGCAAATGGGATGGTAGAGCGACTACACAGACAACTCAAGGCATCGCTAAAGACTCATGCTAACCCACGTTGGACGGAATCTCTTCCCCTCGTCCTGTTAGGCATCAGAGCCGCTATCAAGTCAGATATCGGTTTCTCTCCAGCAGAAATGGTGTACGGTACCACAGTCAGGCTGCCTGGTGAGTTTATTGTGCCTAGCAATGATCATGCTGAGCTCGACCCCAGTGTGTATGTTCACAGGCTGCGTTGTCACATGCAGGACATTCGTCCCACTCCGCCCAGGCCACAACAGCGACAATCACACATTCCAGCTGACCTAGACAAGTGCACACACGTTTTTGTTCGGCATGATGCAGTGAAAACACCCCTACAACCTCCGTATGATGGACCATTTCGCATCATCAAGCGCGCCAGCAAATACTTTGTTTTGGACCTCAACGGCAGACGGGATGCGGTTGCCAAGGATCGTCTGAAAGTGGCGTATCTTGATGACGACTGGACAAACGCGCATTCCCAACAGATTCGCGAGAACACACCCGCAAGGACTGTTTTGCCAGAATCACACCCCCCATCCACAGAAACGTCGTCTTCCCGACAGATTCGCGAGAACGCCCCCGCGAGAACTGTTTTGCCGGTTGCACAACCCCCATCGCCAGAGACGCCATCTCCTCCACAACGAGCCACCAGAGCTGGTCGACGAGTTCACTGGCCAGCCAAATATGAGCAATTCGACTGTCACTGACTGTTATTATCAACTGCTTGTATCGATTGTTTCATTTATCTCTTACAATCTAGAGGGGAGCTACTGTAGTGACATGTACATGTGTATATAATTAAGTGTTTGTTCTTTTAGCTTCAACAGGCGTTCCATACAAATAAGTATGTTAATAAGTTTTGGTTGCCATAGGCACCGGAGTTCACTCTCGCTGTGCTGCGTTTGCGCAGTGTGACATGTTGGTGACCTTTCACTTATCGTTTTCATTCTGCTTTGTGCAAGTCTTATTCCAACGTTGAAAGTTTCCTCAACCAAGTTTTACTCAGTCAATTGATGTGTGCTTAAACCTACTGACTTTCCAGAAGTTTGTTAATCATTGGATAGCAGGTGCATGACGAACTTGTGAGTTTTGAGAGCATTAAAACTTGTAAACAACCAACATTTTGTGTGCCGTTTTTCACGACTTGTAAGAACAGACACGAGGCTTGATAAACAGTAGTAGAACTCATTTCGGGAGAAAACACGAATTACTACAGTTATAAGATATATGTACTTACTACAAAAACACTCCAGCAACCCATAATATTAGCTGGTGCGCTTTGCTTGCAACTTTTGACTGGCATGGCATGCAGTACGTTGCAGCTGGCGTATTATTGTAAATACATGTAGTTTCTAATAATTGAATATTTGGTGCAATGCAGTTTTGACTAATCAAATACTAACTTGTTCTAAAATGCACAGATTTATTTAGATTTGTTTTGCTTTATTTTGTGCTAATACCGGTACTTATACAAACGGAAATTTCATGAACCTATGACCCCGTTCCCACTTGATCCACCAATTGGGGGATCTGATCCACCTTTTGCCAAATTGCCGGATTAGATCCCCCAGTTGGTGGATCAGATCCGGCAATTGTGTGTAGTGGGAACGCTAACCGTTATAAGGTGGATCAGGATCAGATCCACTTTTTCTGATCCAACTCTGGACCAGGATACAGATCCCCCAATTGGTGGATCAGATCCGGCAATTGCCGGATCACGATCAGATGGGAACGCAAAAGGTGGATCTGATCCGGCAATTTGACCTGTTAACATCCGCCCGGTGCACGAGTGGCGCGAAAATGTTAGATAATCAGTTCTGAATTATCCATTCATCTTAATTTTTAATCAATTACAATGCAGTACTCTTTACCAGGGTTTGACCTTAGTTTTTGTTCACTATAGCCAGCCGGGCTACTGAAACAGACTCTAACTAGCCCGTAGGCATTTTCAGTAGCCTGCATGTTGTTCTAAGTATGGCTCATAAATATTGAAAAATGTGCATGTATAAACGTGCATCCTGAAGCAATCTTGTCAGTGTTTTTAATAAACAGATCTAATACATTTGTAATTTAACCATGTTAACCCTAAACCATCTTTGTAAACAGTTTTACATGTAGCCACAAATTGAATGTTACAGGTTTGACATTGAAATTTTTTTAGTAGACCAGAAATTTATACTAAGTCATTGTTCTAAGATGTTAGCCTATAGTATTATTCACTGATAGTCATTTTTATTTCTGACTTCTGAGAATCAAGGAGATCCATGAATACATTTTTCCTGAATAAGCAAACAAGATGTCAAAATAAGCACTACAGGGTGAGTAAAAATAAAAGGAAACCCAAAAGTCAGGACCATTTTTTAAAATGCAATTCTGCATGTGTACATGTAGCACTTTCAAAATCTAGGATACGAAAGCCCAAGGCCAAGCTGTGTTTTAGTAGAAGAATCATTCAAATCACTCCTGTACTTTTCAAGTTATGGAATTTTAAACACAACCACCATTTTAAAGTTCTGTCCACAGATCACCAAAAGGTAAGTGTTCTTTCAGCCAAATGAAAACAATTTAACACACATCCCTATGTTTGTGTTCAAAATTCCGTAACTTGAAAATTACATGAGTGATTTGAATGATTCTTGTACAAGTTTAAAGAAAGCTTATTAATTGGGCTTTCATATCCTAGATTTTGAAAGTGCTACATGCAGAACTATTCATGAGAGGGAATTTGCATCGGGGTGAATTAATTAATAATTTGCATCACCCCGAGTCCCAGACGCAAATTCCATCTTATGAGTACTTTTATTTTGATCTGAGAGTGGATAATGCTGCAAATGTTATTTGTTTCTATTTGTTTCAGGGTGAAATGTGTATTCTCCGTGAAGATCATGCAGAAGCTGCAGAGTTCACTTATGACCATGTTGATGACAGTGGACATTCCTGCAAATGCGATCTGTGTCCTCGCGGCAAGATTCTCCATCGGGCTTGCGTGTGTGATCCAAACTCATCGGGGTACTTAGAACCCTCAGAGTAAGTCCCCTTTTTATTGTGAATGTTGTTTATTAACCCTGTATTTCCCAAAATACACCACTTTATTTTGCAGTGAGAGAACTGTACAGCTTATAGCTACTAAATGCCAAGCAACCATGTAAGTCCTCTGTTCCATTCTCAGCAGTCAAAGATTCAGGGTTGCACTTGGTGACCAAGTGAGCTCTTTGAGGATGCTTAATGATGGCCTCCCTCAAGGATTGGCTCCAATGCTCTTCAACATCTACATGTACATGTATGTAAGGGACACGCCATACACTACCTCAATGAAATTTGCGTATGCGAATGACCTTGCACTCGCCACCCAAGCCGCAGATTTTGAAAACCTCAAAGGGAACCCTAACACGGGACCTAACGAAGATTGAGGAATATTTCACCTTCTGGCGCCTCCGCCCAAATCCTTCCAAGACTTAGCAACCGTTTGGCTAGGACAGAGCTCCAAGTCTCCTTTTGTGGCAAACTAGTCAAACATGAGGAATTTCCATAGTATCTCGGAACTTTACCCTTGACCGGAGTCTCACATCAAGGGACACTTAAAAAAGACGTCAGAAAAGTTGAAGGCCAGGGTCTACATTGTCCACAAATTGGCAGGTACTAGCTAGTTGGGGATCAAGTGCTCATTCTCTACGCACTGCAAACATTGCCCTTGTGTACATGTTGTGCTGAGAGCTGCAATGCCAAATGAATTGACACTATCATGAACTCGGCAATGAGAACTATCTCAGGTACTCTTTAGTCTACTCCTACCCAGTGGCTCCCTGTTCTCTCGCACATCAATCCTCCAGGCAAATGCAGGAAACGACAGATGCTGAAAGAACTGGGACGTACATGTATTGAAGCCAACCCAGACCTGCCAATCCACAAGGACCTGAATAATCTGCCTAGAATGTGCCTCAAATGTCGCAAACCCTTCTGGGCCTCCATAAATACATACCCCGGTATGTACTTGGCTATGGTTGGAAATAGCACATGGGTCTACGGGGAGTGACTGCAGCGGTTTCCATTGGCACCTGTGTAATTTTCCAACCATAGCCAGGTTATTCGGACACGGGCTAAAAATGCGCTCTCTCTCGGTTAAGCACAAAGCCCATAGGTCAGGTCAATGGTCTTTCCTTTGCTACGGGATTTAAATACAGGCGTTCATACAGACAAACACAGTCTATGTTCAAACTACCATGATCAAACTAGCCTAGCGAGGTCATTTTATTTAGCTTCATTAATTAAGTTAAATGATAACCCCTAGTCCTTTACTTAATAGATGACCGCTAAATTGGATTTGAGTTGCAATAACGCAAAAAGGAACAGTTCAAACAAAATCGAGAGGAAAAATTACTCACAGTTGGCCCACCCCCCTTTTTTTTTACAAATTTGATTTTTTTTATTTTACATCTACACCTTCCTGCCTCCAATCAAAATGATCTCGCTTCATGCCTTCAAAAAGTTTTGTTGTTATATTAAAGTGATGCTTTTTTTGTTTGTGTTTAAATTTGTGGGGTGGTATCTTTTAAATTTGAAGTTTTAACTTGTATTTACTTTTATATCTTTTTGAGCAGTTGCAGACTTGTGAATGTAGGTGAACAAATGATGCCTGACAGAAACAACTGCACCAAGGGCTTTGACTGCCGGAAATGTAATCATCCATGGGTAGTGGTGAGTTTATTTACTTGCAGATGTTGCTCATGAAATAAGATGCAATTAGGGCCCGTCCCTTTGATAAGACCATGTGCTCTGCCACCCTGTAAGGCCACAGACCCCTCAGTAGCAGACCAGCGGCAGTGAAGAGAGAAATGTATTTTTAGTGAGCTTCCTCTCTTTCCCTTGGTTTTCTTGGGTGCACCTTTTTTGCCCTACATGTATATGTTTGTGTATCTGATCTGCTGGAGTCATTGATTATTACCAACGTGTCTTGGAAAGTCCATTATATTACACACTGTGTTGGTTTTAGGTTTAAGTCTTGGTTTTAAGTTGGTTATTGGTCTTTAGTCTCTTTAGTTTTGGTCCTTACATTTTAAATTTTAGTTTCTATTTTGGTATTTGATTTAGTTTCTTCACTTAGTTTCCTTAAGTCTTAAAAGTTCTTGTAAATAAACTCCTTTTTGTCCCTTTTTATGCCCCGCGGCGAAGCCGAAGGGGCATACTGTTTCCGCCTTGTCCTTCCGTGGGTGGGTGGGTGGGTGGGAGCTTGTCTTACATACGCAGTGTGGACTTCCGAACAAAAGACGTCCACATAATGTAGGTAGCAGCGACGAAGTGTGGACTTGCCCACGTCCACACAGTGTTTCCCCATTTCTGGAAAACAGGTTTAGAGGCATTTTTGGGTTAGGTTTATCTGTAGCAGAATGAAGAGAAACACTAAAGGGAATCATTGAAAAAAAATTGGGTTGTAAGAGTTTTCACAGTTTGAGAAAAATGAGTTTTTCCACTGGTGTTCCTTAACTACACGAAAAGAAAGGAAAGTCCACACTAGGTATGTGAAACAAGTCTGTGTGGGTGAGCTTGTCTTACATACGCAGTGTGGACTTCCGAACAAAAGACGTCCACATAATGTAGGTAGCAGCGACGAAATGTGGACTTGCCCACGTCCACACAGTGTTTCCCCATTTCTGGAAAACAGGTTTAGAGGCATTTTTGGGTTAGGTTTATCTGTAGCAGAATGAAGAGAAACACTAAAGGGAATCATTGAAAAAAAATTGGGTTGTAAGAGTTTTCACAGTTTGAGAAAAATGAGTTTTTCCACTGGTGTTCCTTAACTACACGAAAAGAAAGGAAAGTCCACACTAGGTATGTGAAACAAGTCTGTGTGGGTGTGTGTGTGTGTGTGTGTGTGTATGTCCGGACAAATCTTGTCAGCGTGATAACTTGAGAAATACTTAACATATGAACTTCAAATTTGGTTTGTGGATTGTACTTGGTAATCCTAAGAACTCTTTTGCATTTGGGGCCGAAAGGTCAAGGGTCAAGGTCACTGTGACTAAAACAAAAGAAATTTTGTCAGCACCATAACTTGAGAAATACTTTACATATGAACTTCAAATTTGGTTTGTGTATTGTTCTTGGTATTCCTAAGAATCCTTTTGCATTTGGGGCCGAAAGGTCAAGGGTCAAGGTCACAGTGGCTGAAACAATAGATATTTTGTCAGCGCGATAACTTGAGAAATACTTTACATATGAACTTCAAATTTGGTTTGTGCATGTATTGTTCTTGGTATTCCTAAGAATCCTTTTGCATTTGGGACTGAAAGGTCAAGGGTCAAGGTCACAGTGGCTGAAACAATAGAAATTTTGTCAGCGCGATAACTTGAGAAATACTTTACATGTGAACTTCAAATTTGGTTTGTGGATCGTTCTTGGTAATCCAAATAGGCCTATCGCATTGGGGGTCGAAAGGTCAGGGGTCAAGGTCACAGTGGCTAAAACAATAGAAATTTTCTATTTATTCTGAGATCATAGGGATTAGTGATTAATTCATATAAAACCTACAGAAGACACTAATGCTGTCAATGAACGTTCCATGTGACCAAGGTACATGTACATGTAAGTTGATGTTAAAAGAGTGGTGTTAATGTCATGGGAACAGTCACGGTTGTGGGGCATTTGTGTTTGAAAACACACCTGACTTGTTTAAATCTAAAATCTTGTCTCGGGTCTCTATTAATTGAATTTCCTCGCGACTCTTCCTTTCAAAGATCCTGAGTTTAGTTTAGTTTAGTTGGTGAGTTAATCCCCATAGAGTCTATTTAGTGCGAGTTCCCCCATAGTATGTCTTTTTCCAGGTAACAGTTGTGAAGCAAGATGGCGCCCTATTGAAACCGTACTGATTTAATGGCTCTCCACCAGCCTCTTTCTTTTCAACTGGGGAAAGGGGGGGGGGGTTTACTTCTGCACGAGGCAGATAGCATGCAAAACTATTTTAATAAATTGTAATGTTGCTTTCAAACAATTGTTCGTTTTCTTTTTGTGTATTGCAGGAAGTACAGTGTGGGTTACATGGAACTGACACAGTATGTAGATGTGCAGACGGCTATTACAGGGCATCAGAAGAACAGTGTAAACCCGACCCTCGATGTAATAAGGGTTTTGAGCCTATTATTACTGAAGGCAAGAAAGTTATTAAATGTGTTACATATTATAGAAATTTACCTGTGAAGAACTGTAGCAAACAAGTGTTCTTGAAATACAAGTACATTTATGTGGCTACTTATTTATAGAGTGGCTCCAGAAGAACATGCTAAATCAAACAGACAATGTAACATTTTGCCGAGTATAAAATGACCCACTGAATTGACTGATATATCTGACTGAATTTGCTCACATAAGCCCAGCAATCAGTGGCTTCATTTAAATTTCAAAAGAGGTTGTATTTTATAAAACTTTATTTTCAAAGTTTTTGTACAGTTGCCTCTTTGATGGTGTTTTTTGTTGTTGTTATGTCATACTTATTTTTCATTCTCCAGATGGCGGCGGATTCTCTGAAAGAAGTTGTGAGCAATGCCGGCCGGGTTATTATCAACCCAACCAAAACAGCACAGACAAGTGCAGACCTCACACAAACTGCACTAAATGGGCTGGCACCAACCAGGCAGATGCCCAGTGTTTGAATGGCCCTTCTACTGGGGGAGATCCATCAGAAGAATCCAAGCCTAGTGGTAAGATTGCATTCAACCTGTGAAATCTTCAACAATTTCTGGGAATGTGTCCTCTTGCTACCTTCAACACAAAAGGAAACTTAATTGAAACTAGACTTATGTTTGTGGACAAACACAGGTCTGTTTTGGCAATTGTTTTGGTGACATCTGGCATGTACAGTTACAAGTACAAGTTGGTGCAGTCCAGAAAGGAGGTGTATTTCTGTAGATATTAGGATGTGTACAATTGAAGGTGCAGGTGTCATATAATACACGATTACATTCTCATAGGGCTTTGAATGATGCGTCTTCAATGTGACACAAGTGACACATGATGATGTCATCATGACGTCACTTCAATTTCCATCTTTAACACATCCTGGTTTAGCTACATGCTAAGTTACAACCAAATTCGGACCTGAAGTTCTTTAGATATAGGTCGTGGAAAAATGCACCTTTAATGTGCGTCACATGACGTGATGGTGTCATAATGACAATCACTTCAACTTTCGTCTATAACACATCCCAGTCTAAGTACCTACTAAGTTTCATCCCAATCAGACCTATAGTTCTGTAGATATTGGCCTTAGAAAAAGTGCACCTTAAATTTGACGTCACATGTCACGTGATGACGTCGACGTCACTGCAATTTGTATCTATAACACATCCCGGTCTAGGTACATACCAACTTTCAACTCAATCGGACCTGTAGTTCTGTAGATAAAGGCCTTCAAAATATGCACATTTAATGTGACGTCACATGGCTCGTGATGATGTCATGATGACGTCAATGTTCGGGCACACATCTAAGTGTGTGCCGAGTATAAAAGCAATCGGATTGATTTTAGTGCCCAAAGTGCCATGCACAATGAAAACGTGTACAAAAGACTCGCATATAACTTGTTGAAATGATTTTTTTTTATTCATAAATCTCATATTCCCTTTACATTTTTAGATGTGTTGAATGGAACCTATGTCACAGGAAATGCCACAGGACCAACAGTGCATCCTATGGATGAATGGAAACTATTCTTCCGGCGTGGCCTGATGATTGGCATTGCAGTTGGAGTTGTCGTTACACTTATCGGTTTCTTGTGTGCTCACCTGTTAAGTAACTTGGCCTGGTATAAAGGTGAGCAGAATTTAAGACTGATTCTTCTTCTTTTTTCCAGCATTAACTGACTGAATTCAGTCTCAGCCTTTGCATCTTTGCTCATTGATTTTGATGGACCATTATACGTAGATTACAACTGATCTGATTTTTTATTGTGATTTTTTTCTAGTTGCCATGATGGCTTGATGAGTGCCAAATTAATTAACCCTTACTCTCTGAGGGTAGTTTACTGCATGTCAGTTGGTTATGCCAATGCCCTCCAGCTGCAGTTTTTTGGCAGATAGTTTGTCTTAACAGTGAAGGCTCCAATTGGCAGGAGTTGGAGGCCCTGGAGGGTGCCCGATACTGACCAGCTGGGGGCACTCACTTTGTTATCAGAGGACTCTCATTGTTCTCTGTGGCATGTATTGGAGTGCCTGTCCAGTTACCCTTGAAATGACATGGCAGATATTGGAGGGCCATGCAAAAAACATAGGAGATTTTCTTGAGGCACATATTGGCATGCGTTGGAGGGTCTAGTAGGGTAAGGGTTAATACCTGGTAGGCCTATATAAAATGATGTCTTCAGTTCACATGCAAGCATGCACTTGTAGTCTAAAGAATTACTTTTGAAAGGCATTTCTTGATAATACCGGTAGCAGGCAACCACGCTAAATCTATCATTTCTGAGATAAAAATATAGTGGAGGTGCATGCCATCCTTGATTTTGAATTTAAAGGTCGTTTTCAGGGCAAGCAAATTCAGGTGAGGCCAGATCGCAGAAAATATGTCTTATTATAAGGAAAGATTCTCACTTGCTTTTTCCCATGCAGTAGGGAATGCGTAATTTGCCTTTCGTGGAAATATGTTATGTGTTCTGGCTAAATGAGAAAGAACTGGGCAGAGGTCGAAATGAGGGTTGGTGGGTTTTAGGAAAGAATACAATTCTCCTTACATAACTGCTTGTTGCACTTTAATCAGACATTCCGTTGACATATATTATGGCTGTTTAAAGTTCATCTTTATCAACATGTCAAAAAAATAAATGCTGAGAAAAATACATTAGTGTTTCAAGTTTTGAAAAAAAAAGTTGCCAGTTTTTTTCATTAACCAGTTTGCGCCGGGATTATTTTGACATTGACCGGACCCAGGCACGGGATCGTTTTTGACAAACCTCGATGCCAGGCGGGTTCAGGCCATCATCTGTGGGTAGCACACCCTGATATTTCCAGCCTCGTTTGTTGCGTGTTATCCGTCATCTGTTCCAAATACTGCAAAACCTTTGCGTGTACACACGTCATCCGACGTGCACTGGTTAACAACATGGTTTCCTGCTCCATGTCTTACTAAAAAAATGGCACCCAAAGTGTGAAATTCTATTTTGGCTGCATGACTCATGGCCCTGTATGTTGTGTTAAATCAATTTTTAGTATTTTTATTTTCTTGCAGAACATTTTGGTACTGAAAACCAACGTGGTGATGACAATGCCGGTAAGCCCTTCCTTTACAATACATTTTTTTTTAGCAAACTGTTCTGCTGCCCAGTTCCCCCCAAATGAGCCATGCAATGATACATTTGATTGAAGTTTGGTATATGCCTATAATGGTACCCATGCGAAGCAAATTTGCTAAGTTTTATTTAGTCCGAAACGTGATAAAAGCATTCAAATTTACAGTGAGTGGGCACTTTTCCTATGTACGATCGATGAAAGATTGAATTAAACAGGTTTCACAGGAGACTGACTATGGTTAGCGCATCAGGTACATGTACTATGTAGGTCCTCTGTTTGTATGGTCTTGTGACGTTACTTGGGACACAGCATGAAATGCCGTGAATGTATCGCTCGCCATATTTCGTAGTCCGATATTCACACTACACCAGCCCAGCTGCATTTTGCAGGACATCGCGCAGTATGCGCGACCATGGAGGTGGAATGCGCGATGCGCACACAATTGAGGAGGGGCATTCCATATTAAAGTCAGAGGGGTGTTTGTAAAACATGAAGCAGAATTGTTGAACAAAATGGTTAACAACTTTAGTTTTTGACTTGTTTTGATTTTTGGACAGAAAAGATTGTTTTTTTTACCAAAAAGGTATTTATGAATGGGAATAACTGTGTGTTCCGTCGGTATTAAACACTCAGTTTAAAACCGGTTTATGTCTGGATGAGTGATAATTACCCATCCAGACTCACACCGGTTTTAAACAGAGTGTTATACAGTAATACCTTCGGGACACACATTTATTCCCTTAATAACGAATGATTTGATTCAAAGAGAATGACTCACTGAATGTGTGTGTGCCATTTGTCTGTGTTTCAAAGCAAGATTACCTGCTGATATAAGGCGTTAATCGGAGGTTGCCATTTTTTATTACTACTGCCATAGTAACAGTTCCCGATAGCTTCACAGCAGATGCTTATAAAATATTATTTCACCTTCTACAGTGTACATGTCTGAACACCATGAACACCTATACTGAACACCATGACCCTTCAAGAAGTGACATAAAATGACATAAAAAGTTTGTGTCACAAGTGATCCCACTTGGCTCCCATAGGATAGCGCACACATAAACAAAGCGTTACGTCACTATGTAATAGGTCCATTCCAATAAAGCTTCAGATGTTATCAGATAAATATTACTCTTTTTCTGTTTTATCTTTTTCTGGAATCCAGCGTGTGGTAGTTTCAATAATATGTAATTTGTCGGTGACTTTTCACATTTGCACGGCTATCTAGTGGCATGTTTTTTTTCACAAACAATGTTCGTTTCAGATAATGAGAATGCAGCACTTGTGGAGAGAGGCCTACGTGGCAATAATGCAGTTGACCAATGCAGCAGGGATGGCAGCCCTCACGTGCTCCAGGTGAACCCGGATGACCACAGTGCTCGAAAAGCAAGTAAGAAATTAGAATACAGTTTGTTTGTAAATCCTCAGAATTATGCATCTAGCAGTGAACCCTTTTGAAAATGTTAGTCAAACAATTCACAGAGCTGCTGACCATATCTCACCACTTGGGTGGGGGGAATTCAAAGAGAATGACTCACTGAATGTGTGTGTGACATTTGTCTGTGTTTCAAAGCAAGATTACCTGCTGATGTAAGACTTTCATTGAAGGTTGCCATTTTTTTATTACTACATGTACTGCCATAGTAACAGTTCCCAATAGCTTCACAGCAGATGCTTATAAAATATCATTTCACCTTTTACAGTGTACATGTATTTGTATTTTACTTTCAGGTGAAGCTTCTTTACATGGCGGCAAAAGTATGGATAACATAAACGAAGGTAATTAAATCACAAATATTTTTTGTGTGAACATGTATTTGTATTTCACTTTCAGGTGAAGCGCCTTTTTTTTTTCTTTGTTCCAACAACATGCAACAGGGCACATAGCTTGTAAGTAAGAATGCATTTAGAGAGTTTGGTATGTGCATGTGTATGTATTCTGCGCATAGTTTGCACATGTTATAAATCGTAAAGAAACTTAAGCAAGCATGGTTAAAAAGGGGAACAGATGAACTGAATTTTGATGTGGATGGATTTAATGTGATGAGACAGTTTAGAGCCGGGGGGAGGGGGAGTAACAAATTTAAAGGGCTGCATCAACAGCAATGAAGAAAGATTGAAAAGATTAGTCATTCCCTTCAAAATGTTGAGTCCATGTGGTTAAATAGTCCGAAGATGATTCATCCACTCTTTCTCTATTACTGAGACAAACCAAGTCCTTGCGATGGCCATATGAGATTCTAGACCCTTTGAAAATCATATCAGGAGTGGAATGGGTTGGAAGGTGGGAGTGGGGACCCAGGGGTGTCCCGTCTCTTAGTGTTGACAGTCGTCAGTCAGTGACCATAGACTTCTTGAGAGTGTTCTTGGTCCCTCTATACTGAACACCATGGCCCTGCAAGAAGTGACATAAAATGGCATAAAAGGTTTGTGTCACAAGTGATCCCACTTGGCTCCCATAGGATAGCGCACATGTAAACAAAGCGTTGCGTCACTGTGTAATAGGTCCATTCCAATAAAGCTTCAGATGTTATCAGATAAATATTACTCTTTTTCTTTTTTATCTTTTTCTGGAATCCAGCGTGTGGTAGTTTCAATAACGTGTAATTTCGTTGGTGACCTGTCACTTTTAAACGGCTATCTAGTGGCATGTTTTTTTCGCAAACAATGTTCGTTTCAGATAATGAGAGTGCAGCACTTGTGGAGATGGACAATGACACGAATGAGGCAGTTGACCGATGCAGCAGGAATGGCAGCCCTCACGTGCTCCAGATGAACCCGGATGACCACAGTGCTCGGAAAGCAAGTAAGAAATTAGAATACAGTTTGTTTGTAAATCCTCAGAATTATGCATCTAGCAGTGAACCCTTTTGAAAATGGAAGTCAAACAATTCGCAGAGCTGCTGACCATATCTCACCACTGGGGTGAGGTGGGGGGGGGGGGGATGACAATAACAATTTCTGCCTTTTGGCATTTAGAGACTCGGTCGACAAATGAACTACCAACAGTGGAGTACAAAGCATGACATGACTAGCAAGGGGAGGGTGTGGGGGTGACACCCACATTATTCATTTTCGTGGGCTGCGCCAAATAGTGTCAACAGTGGGCCCCAAAAAGAAGGATGATGTGTTCCCTCCCCCCCCCCCCCCCACATAATAAAAAACAATTCTGAAAAATTGGCAATTATTTTTAATTGTTTGAAATGTTTTAGAGGAAAAGAGTGTATAATGAGCTTTCGTTATACTTGTATTTCAGAACAAGAACAAGGCCCAAAAAGGCAGAGAAGCCCAAGTAGTAGCAGTAAGAACTCTGGGTCTTCAGAGGATCAGTTGTCTTTAATTTCTGCAAATAAATATCCTAGACTGTTTGCTGCCCCCCACCCATAAAATATGTGGACCGGTAGCTAGCTCCCACCTAAAGCCATTGATTGGATCACCTCTGCTCGGGCTCGCGCACATCATGATTGTTTATTTTTGAATCGCTGCTTAGCTTTGTGCATGGACGGTGATTGAACTCACGATTATCAAAAAACTCGCTCTTGTCTTACCAAAAAAAGTACACAGTGTCTCCATGTGTCTCCATGAGGGCAAATTTCAAGCATTTCAACTGCATAGGTTTTAAATACTGACCAGTAATTTCGTTCTCTTTATTGCTATTGCAAAGACACTTTCCAATTCAGCAAAAATCGAGGCTCATCACCTCGGAAATTGCACATTTTATGGCGCAACCTATTCCCATTTTGCAATAGGCTGGTTGTGCGCAACCATAACCGTTGTGATTTTGAATTCAAGAGGCGAGATTCAGACACGTCATGCATAATTGCATATATAATTTACATGCATCAGGAGAAATGCCTCCTGATGTAGTCCGGTTCTCTGCTAGCTACCTGTCCCCATATTTGAAGTCCGAATGACAATGGGGACAGGGAACCAGACTAAGTGATGTCCTTTCTTCACTGCCGAGTGATGATTTTCTATGCCATTCACATCAGAGATCTTCTAATCTGAGTGTGATAACTCAATGTTTGCGACTTTAGGTTATTTCTTTTTGGTTCCTTTGGTACTTGTGAACCTGTTATTTGTTAATCCATCATCTCATCATGAGTTTTTTTCAGAAAAATTAGGGTTTTGAGGAATGTGCAATTATTAATCAAGCTACTTAGTATCAGAGTATTCATATACATGTATATTTGTATTCATGTAATTTAATTTCAATAGGCCGGGTTTTTTGAGTGAATAAGGGTGCTGTGATGACACAATTTCAGGGTTACAAACACAAATATCGCCTTTAAAAGTATCAACATTTTCAGACGAGGTAACTTTTTGTTAACCAAAAAAAACGCACATTACTAAACTTGAACCATGTCTGTTTGTACCCCCCCCCCCCATTTTTTTTTATTGGTGTCACGTACAGCGTAGCCATTCATTCAAACATAATGGGCTATTAACAAAATATGAAACCAAAGGCATTTTATATTGAACCACATGTGCTCAGTGATTTGGTGTATAAAGCAAAGTCCAAGTTATTATTTAAAATGGAGCCATTTGTATTGACATTTACATTTGAAGTTGTTCATGTAGGTATGTTCATGACTTTATGTAGGTAAGATTATTTATAGCTTCAACCACCTCATTCCTTATCCACATGTTTAAAAGGCATGCGTTTCCCTTCTGCCCTATACCTAGCTGCCCCCTTCCCCCTCCCGTTGTTAAGCCACTGCTTATGCCATATTTAAAAGCTCAACGCCCCTTTGCCTGATTTCTTTATCCGACTTTGTGCAAATGTTTATATTTCTGCCGAAGTGCAATAGTATAATAGTCAAAAATAGTATAATAGTATAATAGTAAAAAAAAAGAAGTTTATTATTTTATGTATGAGGAGTCATGGTATGAAAAGGTGCTTAATGCATTTTTGAAAAAGTGACCAAATGAAAAAGTGTACTTAATGTGGCTGCTGCTGATCAGCAAAAGTACAGTGGAACGTCGCTATACTGAACACCGCTATACCGAACATTCGGTTATACCGAACATCCTCCTTGGCTCCCGGTTTTAATGTACAAAACGTACCGAACATCGTTGTTGAAAAAAGTCAACAGATTAACAAAACAACCTACTGGTTGTACATGTATTAAACACTGTTTGGGCCACTTTTAATTCCTGACCATCAAACCACCCATGGTTACATCGTGTTTGAATGTTGAAGAGTGATATATGGCTATTATTTCCCCAAGGAATAAAAGGGAAAACCACCCGTTCATGCCGTTGCTAAAGTTTTTGCTTGACCACTCCACGTGATGCGGCAGGATGTGAGAAATGCCAGTTTATTGGTCAAAAGAGGGTTGGGTTAGGGTAATGATCGTTATTATGAACACTTTCTGTGGATCCCACGATGTTTGTTATTGCGGCGTTCCACTGTATAATAGTCAACTTCAGCATGGCTAGTAGTGTTGCAAAAGGAAGTTTTTTTTCATTTTATGTATGAGGAGTCATCGTATGAAAAGGTGCTTAATGCATTTTTGAAAAAGTGACCCTTGTCATTTTTTATTTATACCCGTCACACAAAATACTTCTATAAATGTACTTAATGTGGCTGCTGCTGATCAGAAATAGTATTACAGTCAAATTTCTGCATGACTAGCAGGGTTGCCAAAGGAAGATTTTTTATTCATGCTATGTCAAGGTGCCTCATTTTTTTTGTTTAAAAAGTGTCCATCCTTTTTTTACATACCAATGACAATTAATGCTTGTGATTTTGTGTAAATGTACTTAATGTGGCTTAACTTTTATAAGATGAGATTAAGGTGGCTTAACTTATTGAAAGATTAATTTTTTTTGTAATATTATTTGCTTTCATGTTCATGTTCTAAAGTAAGATGCAAGATTTTTCTCAACGTTACATTACTTAGTTACAGTAATATTTTAAATGAAAAGCAGAAGAAGAAAAAGAAACCAATTGAGCCAAAACGGTGAGTGAACAATTGGTGAATGCATTGTGATATAAAGCCGGACTGCCTTTTGGTAAAAGTGGCATAGTAAACCTTTTTGTAATGATTCATTTTCGAAATCAAACGCTGCATCAACACTTGGCAAATGCTGCCCACAGAAATTACTACAATTAATTAGACAAATACAGTGTTTCTCACAACAAACATGTTGTTTATTAAGCCACTTCCTTAGCATTTATGTCAAGAAACATTGTAAATGGTAAATACTGTAATTTTAGGAATATAGCCCGCACAGAGTATAAGCCGCAGCACGAAAAAATCTGCAAATAAAATTTGACGTCTGCATATTAGCCGCACAGACGAATAAGCCGCACCAACGGCGGTTTCAATTTTGTAAGGCCTCCAAATTCTAAAGTAAAAAGAGCTCTGGACCAGTCCATTTGCACTACGAAAGCTATAAAGAGGGCCACAAAAGTTATATCAAAACATTTACGTTCCATACTCGTTAAAAAAAATATGGAAATTGACGATGAAAAATAAACACCGGGAATTGCTGCCGGCTGGCCCGGCCGGTCCCCGGCCCACTGTTTGTTAATGATTTTCTGGTACCTCAAGTCTGGTAACGATTGATGATTCATTTCAGCAACAGATGTTTTTCTTATACCAGTGCATTAAATACACATTTAAATCTTATTTTTATTCTTCAAGGCTCAGTGTATAAGCCGCCCTGTGTATAAGCTGTACTAAACATTTTCATGGGCAAAATCAATGTATAAGCCGCGGCTTATATTCAGAAAATTGCAGTAAGTTGATTTCCCTGTCTTGTATTTCAAGCAGAAAATAAAATAATTCTGAAATGGCTAGCATGATTTTGGAACACTTGAATGCTGACAGTACTGGTAATTTTACAGAACAATACTTGAAATGTATTTCAAAATTTGTTTAATGCCATTATATTTTCTAGTGATAATGTGGTACGAGGCACTTTTTTATTCAAGCAATTTAAGGCAAAAATACATTTCAGATACAGAGTATGCAATAAGTAAATTTTATTTATTGAAAAACATTGTAAGTGCCTTGAAAAATGCACTGAAAGATACATGGTAGTACTACGGTAGATATCGTCACCGTTTTCACGAACAGCCACATACTTTATATATTATGTTGATTTTGAAGAAAAGTGTTTTCGAGATAATCGCAAAAGAAGTTTCTCATATTTTAAAACTTCAAGAAATACTACTTTGCAACAACTTTTTGCAGCAAGGAAACCATCACACGATTCTACGAGAGCTGAAGTTTTACATGAACCCGGTAATAAGACTTAATACAGCAGTTAATTAGTAACTTAGTAAAGATATGTGGCTCTTCGTGAAAACGCAAATTCAGGTTTCCGAGATATTGGCCCTTTCTGTTCAACGTATATTTCCATAGGCGAGCGTGAGTACGCGCGCAGCTGAAAATGTAACAAAGATATGTGGCTCTTCGTGAAAACGCAAATCTCATTTGACCTACTTTTACGCATTTCCGTGCAATGGGTTTTGTACGCGTTCAAAGGGCCAAAATGTATGTGGCTCTTCGTGAAAACGCAAAATTCATTTATCGAGATATCTGCCCCTTGTAACATTAATGTAACTTAGAAAATAATGATGTTTTGCTTACAGAAACATGTCAAAATGGTTAAGTACATTGTTTTAATGCGAAATTTTGAAAAATATCAAATCAAAAAAATTGTAATTTTTGACATACGTGGCTCTTCGTGAAAACGGTGACGATATATCAAAGAAAATGTGTATTCAAAATACAAGAATATATAAACTACTCTTTTTTAAAATTTATTAAAAAATGTTTATGAAACTACAGGTACCAACGGTTTGTATACATTAACAAAAAGATACAGCTATTTTCTTTTAAAATTGTGATAGTTTATAATTCGTGGGGCAAATTGTCCCTTGATTTTATTGATACTGCTGCCTTGCACTTAATAAAAACTGAAATAAAATGTAAATACAAATTCTGATCAGACTCTGTTCTGTACAATAGTTCAAGCCCCTTATACAATGTACTGAATCCTATAAGAAGTGGAATGCTGATACAATTATTTATGTATTCTTTTTTTAACCAAAATTATTTTATTTTGGCCCGAACTCCAAAACTAGTACTTGGAATAATTTTTTATATTCCCGATTCTAAAGCCAAGCGTCACGAAATAGATTCGAATCTACATCCAACTTATCTTGGGATGAGATTAGGAGGAAATGAACAATCCATGAAATAATCCACAGAGGGTTTGGGGGCTGTCATTTGTTCTACATAAACTTTTATATTTAATGATCTCTTTATGGTAAAATCTCAGAAATTCCACATTTCAGAAGGGATATAAAAAATACTGAATTCTGGGGGAAAAAACCTGATAAATCTCGTCCCTGACTTACTCCCTGATTAAGAAGGCGATGGAAATAAAGGGCCTGTCTCAGTTTACATCCGGGACAAGTTCTAGACAAGTTAGTGGGTATAAGTCGCAGGATTCTGAACGCTGACTTGCAAAGTCAAGCAATAGCTTATGAAAATTTCCCCGGAACATGTCCGGGATTAATGCAGAGCTTCTTCCGGACAAAGTGAATGATTCTACCTGCAACTCGTCCAGAACTTGTCCCAGATAGAGATTGAGATTAGCCCCAAGGCCAAAAAAAAAGTCTCCGGTTTCTGGTATGGAGCTGAGTTTGGCGGTTTTGAGACATCATCTTTCATTGAAAAAAAAAAACCTTTTCATTTTGCCGACGCGCATGGCTACGGCGACGCGCGCGCATACCAGAAACCGGAGATTTTTTTGGGGGGGGGAGCCAAAGGCAGATATGGATGGAATGAAGAGAATATACTGTATATGAATGGAATGACTAAAGCCCGGTTCATACTCGGCGCGAAAGCGAACGCGAATTTGTGACGTCATCGCAAGTATTCGAGCTGCGAATTCGTAAAAGTTGAACATAGTTCAACTCGGGCGAATTTCGCAGCGAATGTTTCATGACGTCAAATTCGCTTCGCATTCGCTTTCGCATGAAGTATAAACCGGGTTTTAAGGTGAATACCATTTTTTCCATCAATGTTAAAAAACTTGCTGTGCATTAGGATCATAGTAGACCGGAGCACAACTGTATGTCTGGCCTTTATACTTGTTGACATAGACACAGTAGACAACAAGGGTGATGAGAAGACCCACACTCAATGCACATGCCCCAACAGTGACGTACATTGCTGGACACATTCCAGTATCTGCCACAAAAACAACAACTGATCAGATGTACAGTAGTTACACAGGAAATATGCATATTTCAAACAAGCATGCATGTACAATGTCGGATTCGAAATTCCCGTATACGGTACCGAGTGGGAGGGAAGATGTTATCAGGAATCTAAACTTGCATGACATGTCTATTGTCACATCTGGAAAAAGACTGATCACATATATGACGTCTGGCTTTCAAATAAGTTCTTGGTGTCCTTTCAGTGCATTCCAACAGAAAGACTTTTGAAGCTTTTGTTTTCGAAGGATGGCCTCAAAAAACTTTTTGCTAATGTCTTATACTTCTCATGACTGTTAAATGCTGGGACGTATGTACTGATTTCTTAAACTTTATTTACCTGATTCAAGTTTGCGCTCATCAGTGCTTAGTGGAGTATCCTGTGTGCTCCCAGTGTCAGGGGCGCAGTTGGCAACCCTTTGGTCTCTTTCTGTGACTGTTCTGTTTGTGTCACTTCCGTGGTTGTGTCTGCGTGCACCAGGGAACACAACAGAAAAAAGGGATTATCATACAGTCTGTTCTTGTCTAATTACATTTTCCATAAGGCATCACAACTTATCACAAGTTATTAATAGTCAATCACAAGTCATCGAGTTTCATGTCAAAAAAAGTGGTGTGACAAAGACATTCCTTTATGCTCACTGTTTGTCCCCTGACTTTTGAAGTGACTTGCAATTGAGTTGTGAGTGACATGTGATTGACTTGCGAGTGACATGTGATTGACTTGCGAGTGACATGTGATTGACTTAAGTAATTGACTTGTGATTGACATGTGATTGACTAATTGTGATTGATGCGTGATCGACTTGTGACTGACATGTGAATGACATGTGATTGGCATGCGATTGACATGTGATTGACTAAACTATGACTATGACTTCACAGTCACCCTTTGGACCAGTTCTGGCATGCTGTCACTTCTATTATGGAGGCCCCTTCAATGACCAAAGCATTGTGCTAGCTATCGTCAGTCCGTCATGGAACAGTTGATTTGTACGATAGCATGGAACATAGTCATGGAACAGTTGATTTGTACGATAGCTTGCACAATGCCACTGGACACAGTGATCATGTGTCCGGGTTTGTCTATTATACCCAGCAAGTAGTAACCTTACCCATTTCTGTAGATTCTGGAGAGTGGGGCTCCCCAGTGGCATTTGACGACATGTTAGTCAGTAGTTCATCACTGACGCAGACGCTATCAGCGACTGCAGACCCTGCTTTGACTAGGCAAACTCTGTGGGGTTGGCAGGTTGCTGTGCTGTTGTTGAATAGTTAAAAAGGGCCTTCCCTGCATTGTTGGCAGGTGTAGACAATTTCTCCAGTTTCACCTGTGAATGAAAATGTAAAACAAAAGCAAAGACCGGAATATGCTGAGAAGGTTATAGAGCCTTACAACTTCGAATATTTCTTCAGAGAATTTTACTTGTTCTTATATTCAACACACATCGTAATGCGATCACAAGTCCAGTCACAAGTAAATAATAAAAGATTTGAACCAGGGCAACAAGAGGCAACAGACATGGAAGAAACTACAACTGTCTTAAGCATTCTTACCGCCGCCTCGCCGTTCTAGGCCTTGACCAGGGCAGCGTGGCATTGGTCGACATTCTCTCGGACCAGTTCTGCCCTCCGATGGATATGGATTGTACCAGCCATCTACACATTCGCATTTTATGTCCACTCTCGCTGTACAGTCAGCCACCTTGGTCAGGAAAGACAAATAGCTGGGGTTAAATTTGTCGAAAGACTTTGCCAAATTTATTGAGCACAGAAATTGTAGCTGCAGCTAAGATTTTATGGATTATACATTATACAGTTACGCAGCTTGCTTGCTGAGACCTTTGTAGTCAGACCAGCTCTGCTCAGTTAGGTATAAAAAAAGACCTTTACCTGCAAAATGGCCATGAATATCACAGAGATTTAGAAGACATGAACTCATTAAGAAATGGCGCCTCATATAAATAGTTTTTTTTGGGTACCTTTCACTGATGGTTACCACAACTGGAAGAACACAGATATGGCTGGGAGCATCTATTTGCCTTATCCATGTACTCAATCCCCTGTTTAACAACCACACAGCTAAAAAAAAACAAAGCAAGACAATTATTGACAAAATTTATTTATACGTTCTAATCTCTGTGCTCATTCTTAAACCAAATCTTAAAGATGCAGTGAAACCCTGGCACACTTCAATTCTTCATGAAGGCCCCCTTTAATGGCAAAAGGATAGTGCTAGCTACTAGCTAGTATTAAGATCATCAGGCATATATGTTCCTTTGTACAATAGCATGCACAGTGGTTTCTCCATTGAAGGGGGCCTCATGAGGGTACAACTAGTGATCACGTGCCCCGATTCATCTAGATATACTACAACTTCTACAAGTTTTGACAAAGTTTAGAC